AAAATAGGTTAACAAAAAAAGGTGTGTCTGGTCTGGTGTAGCTAATGTGACTTTCTCGATCTTTAGTTCCTCTTTCTTTCTCTCTCCTATTGACATAACAAAGTATGGTTCTATTGAGCATGGTAACCGTGCTGTACAAAGTGGTTAATAATGTTTTTATTAGGACATGAAAATAAGTTAAGCAAATTACCGAAAGAATGTCTTTAAAATTTAAGGCTTTAGTTTAAAAGGTTTACCTATTATTTTGGTTTTCTTTCAAACTTCAATCGTCTGCTACCGTGTATTCTTAACTTTTTTCTACTGGTTCCCCTTATTGATCACGACTCGCAGGTTATCCACAACCAAGTATCACGTACCTATTAATTAATTTTTCGAAAATTTACAGCATTTTCAAGAGACTCTTTAAACATGAGATACTCTCTATTTTAAAGAGTCAACATTTAAAATCATGATTCAATAGACTCTTTAGAGCCAAGCTCACTCTCTATAATTAAATGCAATCAAAGTGTTTCAATTTTCAATATAGGAAAACATTAAAATAATATAAAGAAAAGCTAGTTAAAATAAAAGATAAAGAAAAATAATAAATATTTTAAATGATAGAATATGCTCTTTAAAAATAGAGAGAGTGTCTCGGATATGCTCTTAAAGTAATCTTTTCATTACAAATGTAGCTATTAATCAATTTTATCGACTTCAAAGTAATCTTTTTTTTTTTAATTACAAGTTAACCTACTAATCAATTTTTCAAGAATTAATGACTGATCGTTTCATTACAAATAACAAAAAACTAGAACCCATAAAAATCCGAAGTTGAAAACATATTAGTACATCATTTAAATAAAAATTTCTACAAAAAAATAAATATCTACCTCAGCTGATGGCGGACGAAGATAATTGCGAGTTGGGCTATCAAGAAAGACAACAGAAGGGTCTCCATAAGCCACCTGGATTGAAGTAAAAATCCTTATCAAGTTCCAATTTTCCAATTAAGATCCAATCTAAAACATTTTTCATTCAAAAAGATCCAATTGATTTAGTAAATTCATACGTGGGAATAAAATTATATACATACAAGTAATATAGAGAGAGAGAGAACCTGTGAGCGTAGAGAGATAAGTGAGAGGATTGCAAGAAGAAAGAGAGGATCCATTGAGGAAAGACGGAGAAATTGTTTGTGTGTGATCTGTGTGGTTCCTGATACGAGGAAGATCGGCAAAGATGAAGGGAAAGAGCCAATACGACCACGTTTAGGTAGTTGTCAGAGTTGCAAATGGTTTTGTATGTATCATACCGTTAGGTACATATTAAAATCGTATTAAAATTAAAAATTTAATTATTACTGTTGACTTTTATCATATGAGTAAAATTCAATAACGATTATATTTTTAATTTTAATTGGATTTTAATCTTTATCAAACGGGCTTGCCTTGTTTGAACCCTATTTTCAACGAAAAATGCATTTTTAAATAATAAATTTTGGACAGTGTATGATTGAAAATTAAGAAAAAAATCGATTTACATATAATCTTATTTTATTAAAAAATGTGTTGTTAAAAATGAGGGTCTGTTTTCTTTGTATTTGAGTTTTGTGTTTTGAGTTTTAAATTCATTTTGGATTTTGTGTTTTGAGTATCTATTTTGAGATTGTTAAAAACGTATCTTTTTGGTTTTTTGAAAAATTGTTTTGAAAACACCCAAAACGTGTTTTGAAAATTTTGACTTGATTATAACTGAAAAACTCAAAACGAAAAATTTGTCGTTTTGGTTTTTTTTTTTTGTAAATTTTGAACTTATTTTCAAAAATGCGTTTTCAAAAATAGGAAAGATAACACATTTTCACTGTTTTGAAAAATTGAAAACAGAAAATTATTTGAAAATAATAAAGAGAACATGCCCTGAATTTTCAAAATAATGGGACTCAATAATGTTTTAGGGTTATTTGCAACAAGCGTTCCTACGTATGAAGTTTATTTTGCAAAATTCAACGTTACATTTTTTACATTTTCACCCCTGTTTACACATTTCATTGCAGAAAAAATCATTTTTCATCTAATTTCTAAATAAAAGGCTGTAAAATAAATATACTTTTCTATTTAAATAAAATAAAATAAAAATAAACAATTAATTGTAGCTATAATCCATTTTTTTTAAAAGGTGCAAATGAATTCCAATAAATTATTAAAAAATCAAAAATGAGAAAAAAAATTAAAAAGAAAATTATATTCTTCATTCTCATCCCCTAATCCTTATCCTTACTCTCAAACCTCAAACCAAAGGAGAAAATACGAGGAAATGGCCAGTTGACTTGACCATATTTTCATAATGGCCTTTGACCATTAAAAAAAAGTTAAAATGATGAAGTTAAATATCGAAAGCCAAAAATGCGCACATCTTCAACAAAGTGTTTGAGAGGAAAAAAGAAATTTCGAAAAAAATCTCACAGTCTAACAGTCGGAATCCAGTCGAAGTCGTTATCCTCGCAATCAACCCAAGGCCGACAAGCCGACCACCACACAATCTGAATATTATCTTCAACAAGATTAGTTTTTTTGGAATTATGAGATTAATTTTTCATTTATTATGTTTCAAAAATATATGAATTTTATGATGTTTATAATGTTTATTCTTCATTATTTACATAGATTATTGAGTGTATATTAGATTTAAAAAGTCTTTTCTTTTTCCAAAAAAATAGCTCCTTCTCTTCGGGGCTCGTCTTTTATTAATATATATTTTTTTAAATTATACATTAAGAAATTGTAATTCCTTTTTTAAATTAAATAAGGATTATTAAAAAGAATTTTAAACTGAAAATTACCAAATTAAATATTGTTTTTAAACAAATTAACAAATTCTTTTTTTTATTTTATTTTTTTCAATTTAAGATTCTTTTTAAACAAATTTTTAATTTTTTTAGTTTTAATTAAATAATATTTATATTCTTTATTTAATTTTTATAATTTCCATTGGCTTAATTTTTTTTTTAATTTTTCTTTTTGTGTTTATTATTATTATTACTTTTTTTGGTAATAATCTAAAAAATTTCTTAATTGTTTTCTTCTTATTATAATTTAATTTTTTTTCAATTTAAAATACTTTTTAATATTCTTGCTTTATTTTTTATATTTTTATAATTTTCTTTAATTTTTATTTTTTTTATTTTTGGCCATTAATTATTTTTTTAATTTAAAATGTTTTTTATTATTTCTTTAATTTTTATAGTTTTTTATTATTTTCTTTAATTTATTTTTTTATTAGCGCCGATATAAATGAATTTATTTATTGTGTATAGTAATTACAATTCAATTTGCTTAATTTTTTAATATTGTGCTTTATTTCATTATCTCTTGTTTAAGGTTCTAACGTTTGAATTTTTATAGGATGAAGTATTCTTTCGATGTTGAGTTGAGACATATGGCGGGAAAAGCTACTTAGAATAGTAGATTTGAGAGTTTTACTACTGTATTGGAGTTGTTCGATAATCAGCACGGATATATGCTACATCCGTCCTTCTTGTGGCCCTGTATCAATTCAGAGACGTGCACTATTACGAACAGATCATTGGCACATTACTATGTTGACTACTAAACNGTATCAATTGAGAGAGGTGCAGTATCCCGAACAGATCATTGGCACATTACTATGTCGACTACTTAAGTTAGTGAACGGCGATGCTCTCCACTTCGACCTCGGGAGCATGGTCGCTAGTTTCTCTTTGTTTGAGTTTGCCTTGGCTAGACTGAAGATTACGGGCGATAAAGTAGCTAGTGACGATACCCAAAAAAAATAGGGTGTATGATACATATTTACAAGGACAGGGGACAGTACTTCTACCGCAGCTGATTGGTGCAATTAGGGAGTGCGACCAAATGTTAGACAAATTGAAGTTGGGACTAGTCTATATCCTTGAGAGAGTGGTGAGGTGTCATCACAAAAAGATTGCAATCTACCTTTTCCATTTAGAAGTTGTTGATGATATCGATGCCTTCAACAACTATCCGTAAGTGCGGAGATGTTTTCAGGACATCGTACACATATTCATCAGATTACATTCAAAGCCCAAGTGGTCATTGCGTAAGCACGATACGTATGGATTGCCCCTAGAAATGTCGGTAAATGTTTAACATAATCAACTTCAAAATATTTTTTTATACTAAATTTATATATAATAATTGTATGTGTTGCAGATCTGGGCATATGAGACCGTTCACCTCTGATTACTCGATTTGTGAGGCAAGGGGAGACATGCTGCCCTTGGATGTATCATTAGCGAGCAGATGGTTGTTCATCGGCAAATAGTTATCAGCTCTCCCCGATAACCATCAGGTGAGTATTATATACATTTGCGATTTATATTGTATGTCGTTTCAAAATCTCCTTCGCTCTGGATATCACCTCCACCGATGGGATCACGTTCGTCGAGGGGATTACCTCCGCCATTGAGATCTCCTTTTCCCCCATCGATACACCTCCCCCGTAGATCTCTTGTACGCAGTCGACTCATTACAATAATTTGTATGTACGCCTGACTGGATTTATGGCACAGGAGGTGGGGACATTACGACGAGAAATGAGAGAGGAGGTGGGCAGGCTACGAGATGAGGTATGGGCGCTACGAAGAGAGTTGAGAGGCGGGGTAGCAGATTTATGCCATAATGTTAGAGTGGCGGATGAGGAGAGGACGCCCGTCATGACAGAGGTTAAGAAGCGTGCTGTTGACTTGTCAGAACATGTAATCAGTAAGAAATCGAGATTGCCATCACGGTACTTCGTTTCTCCCTTCACTATTGAGGCGAAGAGGAGGACGTTCGTTGATGGGATGCACCCAAATCTCTTTCGATAGGTGAACCTTGCCAAGTGGAAAGGGTTCAAGACAAAGTTGAGAATAATTATGCCCAAGTAAGTATTTTATTATTTTAATAAAGTACATTACGCTAACTCATATATGCTTCTTTTAACATTTCATTTCATTTCTTTTCTTTTCTTTTACTTCTAATATGTACTTTCTATTTTGAAGTTTTTTGTTCATATAGATAAAATAGGAGTTTGGGTAAACTTTATTAACATGGGTTCTTGTAGAATTAGAATTTATTAGAACCCACCTATATTCATAGTTTAATTAGCGAGCAGAAAGGGAGGTACAAGTAAACCCCGGTTTGTCTACCATTATTTCAAAAAAAATTATTTGCTACAGTAAGATTTTTCATCACACATTCACCAAATAAAATATTCTACACACAAATCAATAAAGTTATTTTAATTTTCAACCACACATTCTCTAAAAAATATTATTCATTACTCTATTTTTCTAATGGGAGACAAACACACCCTAATTACTCTAGCACCTTGAATTTATTTGATTTGTCTTTTACTAGATTTAATGAGATTTCAAATCTATGTTTAATGTCAGCAATTCAACTTTCATTTATTGCTTTGCTTTGCGGGTTGGGAAGATTATGCATTCTTGATTGCAATGCCTAGTCGCTTGCTTTCTGTTCTTGATGTGTAAATGCAAGTTTTACTAGCTTTGGTTTGGGTTTGAGGATAAAGATGGGGGTTGGGTGAGGGGATTAAGAAGAAGATGATCATTTTTTTAATAATTTAATTGAGACCTATTTGCTCTTTTAAAAAAAATTGGAGTATGGTTGCAATTAGTTAGTTCTTTATTTTTCTTTTTTATTTTATTTAAATAGAATTGTATATTCATCATTTCATAACTTTTTATTTAGAAATTGAATGAAAATGATGATTTCCGCAATG